GTTCGGGACCAGATGGTTTAGGCACCATTTATGTAGTGAATGACTGTGAATAACTCATCATCAAGTAAACAAAGTACAGAGGGGACAAGCTTAGCTTAGCATCACTCTTCTTGCCTTATAATGAAATATTATGTAGTTTATTTGAGAGAAAGGGACCAATTTGTTGTTGTTTTCAGGTGCCTGCTAAGACTTGGTTTACCATGATAGGAATATATTTTCCTGATGTAGATGGGGGCTGAGGTAGCATTCTACTGATACATTTTATTAAATCTTTCACGCCCTCCTGCTGTTTCCTGAACTGCATTTACACTTGAGTCCCTTTTTAAAGATCTGATCTCATCTTGGACTGAAGTTTGTATTTGAATAAGTTTCATATGGAGTCAGAGAAGCTGACTCTGTGGATTAGTTCTGTATTAAAGTTAAGGCTAGCTTGTTGTACATTCAGTATCTTAACTCCTCCAGGCAAATCTCTTTTTTGGTCTTTTTGATTCTTCAGATTGAAGAAAGAACTGATTTTGCTTGCTCTGGCTCTCCCTCTTGTGTAGCAAAAAATCTTTCCCAGTTTGCATTCAGGAACTTCCATCTGCAGCTCCTCAGCTGGAAGTTCTTGAATGCCAACTGACTTAGTCATTGTCCCTCTTACTATGAGTGTCCAGTAACTCAGGAAAGATTTTTCTGTGTTTGTGCAGTTTTCATACCGTAATGTCACATCGACGTTAACCGTGGGATTCATCTTACCTTTTGTAGAATTAAACTGAAAGGCAAAACTTAAAAAGTAAGTGGTTTATGCTAATGTGACTTTCAAGTAGAATCCAGTGGAGACAGGCTTGGTGGTGAGATACCATGTTTACTGAATCCAAGACAACATTTGAATTTTAATAGAACCTCCCAGTAATTAGATTCAGTACATGGAAAATTATATATTTTTTAATAGTTTATAAGTTTGTTAGACTTTTTCATATATAGAATCTAATCATTGCGTCATCTTAAATTTGTTCTCTCCCCTACCACTGTGTCACAGAAAGCAGTGTCGGGCGGGGGGGGATTCCTGCCCCTTGCCCCCAGCCCTTGGTGACTGTGCCAACCCTCTCCCCACCCTTGCCCTATGGGGTGCCTCTGTTTTTGGCCCTGGCCTGGGGCACAGAGCACATGGTGGCTCTGGCCAAGCAGCAACAGCAGCAGAAGCTTGCCTTGAGCCCTGGGTCAGGGCTGGAGCCAGCAGCTCATCAATCGCTCTGCCCCTCACATGCCCCTTGCCTCCCACCGCACCCTGCGATCTCCCCTTTGCTCTTCACTCCACGCCTCATGGTATTCCCTCTGTTCTCCGCTCCTTTTCCCCACTCGCAACCCCTGCGAGTGTGTACTGTGTGATATGGCTGGGGTTGAGTCACGCTCAAATTCAGGGTGAGGTTTCTTTTTCTCCATGTTGAATGAGGCGAAACAAGTTCATCTTGGATTTGAGTAAAAATGGTATTTGTGGAGTATCAGCAGGTTTTGGATACGTGTAGTTTATGGCTTTTTGTTCTCACTTGTCTTATACTTCTTATCAGCAAAAAGTTGATCTCTTCATTAGACAATATTAGACCTTTCAAACGGATGCAACTTTTGACTTGCTGAAAAATGGATAGCTGTTTCTGTTGAGGTACACTATAATGCACTTGTGAAAGCTAGACTGTCAGTGTTTAACTCTAGAAGAATGTAGGAGAGTTGTTAGGGATCTGCCTTCTGTTATTGCTTCTTTAAATATAAGGTAGTAGGGGAGATGGAGAGCTTTTCTACATATCAGTTTAAGGTAGCTACTCAGTGAGGTTATTAAGTGCACTCATCTTTTTTTTTCTTTTTTCTGAATGACAATTTCTCTTTGTCTAGAGTCATTCACACTGAAAATATCTGGATGTTGTTTGTACGGGGAAAACTTAAGGTTCCTAGAAAAAGATCAGTATCCATTTACCTTTTTATTATGTAAGTCAATCAATTCAAGTCATAAAATGTCTGACATCGGCGGTCTGTTAGTCTCACCTTTGGGCAAGATATAAAGAGAGAAGAGGGAAGAAAAATCTGTTTCGGGAACCTGTCCATTCCCTCCTGTCATTTTAGATCACTTATTTTTTTTAATAAGGAAATAATATAGGAGAGAGTGAGAATTCAGGGAGTCTCCTTATAATGGCATTGTCCTGGTACAGTGTGCAGAAGTATTGTAGAAATAGAAGTACAAGTGATTTATTTTGCCAGGCCTGTGACTGACAGGTGGATTGCAGCAATTCAGAAAGGCCAGTGAGATAGCAATCACATCTGAATAACTAGGTCTGGCTGCTGTCAGAGATGGGCGGACTTCCCTCCTGCTGGTGACTGTTCCAATTGTTGTTTTTCTCCAAGTGCTCAAAAAGCCAACATGATTTCTGGTGGAACCAACCCAGACTGTGAAAAATTGGTCACATAGTCTTCTGTTCTATGTTGTTACTCTGCATGGTCTGGCTGTTGCTATTGTTCAAGAGACAATTGCCATGTTGAAAGGCCCAACCGGTACGGTAATAAACTAGATCCTAACATGGAGCCATATTGTGAAAGCATTAGAGGTGGTGTTTTTATTGATGGGGGACAGAAGGTAAGCTAAGGCCGTACTGAGACCTTATGCTGGATTTGTTAAGCTCCAGCTATCTACAATCTTTTTGAAAATAGTAGATAGAGAATGAATAAATGTGAGATCTAAGTACTGTAATTGGAGACCTCTGCATAATGAGTAAGAGACACGGAAAGTCCAGCAAAATCTGGATGCAGTTTACTGAAATGTGGATTAATGAGGTTTTACTGGAATTGCTGTTAATGCCATATCGTCTATGTCTACATGGATACTTGTGGGTCAATTGGGAAATTCTTAACTGGTCTAGTGATAGTTTTACTCATTAAATTGCCCTACTGCTGATGGTAAAATAAGGATCTTCCTCTATGATGCCTTTTCAAAGGTAAAAGTACAAGGAATGTACATTCTTCTTTCAGGTCCTCTAGTAATGAATTTATACAGGTAAGATTTAGACCCATGACTAGGGACCTACTTAATTCACGGTTTCATGGATTTTGCAGAAACCATGAAATCTGGGATTGTATCCAAAATCAACAACAAAAAAACTTAATAAAAATAAAATGGGCAACCAATAATTAAGATGGTGGCGACCCCTTCCTCCCACCTGGGCCTCTCCACCAATCAGTGCTGAGGGGTGGGATCTCTCCACCAGTCAGCATTTTGGGGGTAGAGCTGCTGTGAAATGATTGCAGAAGGCGAACCTTATGTTGCCATCAACCTGCGGAAATTGATAAGTACCCCTATGATTCAGGTAGAACCTGCACGTGACCAGAGTCATTCATAAAGGGTTGTTTGGTTTCGGGTTTGGTTTTGGTTTTTGTTGACATAGTTTGCCTGCTTCTAATTCCTGGTTGTCTAATGCCTATTATTAACCTCTCTAGTTTGGTTTTATAGCTCATGAGTACTACTGAATATAAAAAATTATTCTTAAAAAGAAGCCTGAAAAATGATGGTTACATCTAGGCTGAAAAGGCTGTACAGAACTGTAGCTAGTAATCAGACAGCAAGGTGGTTAGCTGTAGTAGTCTGAAGTCAAGCAGAAGGTAGTCTCTTTGGTCCCTGCCCTAGCAGACTGTGAGGCATAAACTTTCATACTCTGCAGCCTAATTTCAGAAGCTGTGAGTTTAGAGACTAAGCCAGTTAGTCAATAAGGTGCCACCCTGCTCTTCCTTTTGCCTGGTAATCAGACAATCAAGAACAAAAAAACTCTGTCTTCAGTTACCAGATTACTTTCTGTATAAATGTGTACCATACTGCCTAACATATAAGTTGAGTGTTTTTCTCCTGGGAAGAGAGAGAAAAAAATTAAGGGATGCTTTAGACATGAGGGAATGGTGCTTCGATGCCCTGTAATTACACCGCATTGGAACAGACCTGATTAATCAAGTCTCCATATCTCGTGTAGTCAACGTCCCTGTGCTTCAAAATGGCACTGCAGGCACTTTAACTAAAGCTCTTTGAAGAAGCTTAAGTTGCAGTGCCCCCACCACTATTTCGAAGTGCAGGATGCTGAATTCATGAGACTCGGTGGGCACTTTAATTAGAGGCTCATGGAGCTGCTCTAATTAAAGTCTGCCCCCTCCCATCCCTGAAGTATGTATAAAGACACCCAAGGAGTCTTACACACCACAGCTATATAGCAAAAAAAAAAAAAATTAAATGGCTGTAATAAAAATAGAGAACATTCAATCAGATTTATGTTGATAACTTTTTTCCCACAATTTTATCCTTTTCTTGGGTAGGTATATGTTATACACAGATATCTCATGTGGAAGGCACACTCTAGTCAAGAACATCTATTTAATTCACAAGTCCTGCAACCTGTGTTATGTAGAAGTTAGACTAGGTGATCACAATTATCCCTTCTAGACTTCAAATGTATTAAAATAATCAAATGGCATAGAGTTGGTTGTGTATGGTTTTGAAAAACAGGAGGGAAATGTTGGTGTTCTTTTTATTTGACTACATTCTTGTTAAAGGTTGGACTTCAACTTGTAATTTGAATTTACAGTGTTGAGTTTATTGTATTGATGAGCTAGCTGATCAGTGTATTGAAAATCATGCCGTTACTATTCAGTTGTGGTAGGGTATTCATTGTTGGCTTGATGCCCTGGCAAGAGATTTTGTGTTTTAATGCAATATTTTGACACACTTCAGACAGTACGTTAGATCTTTAAAACTGTGTACATGACTTCCTTAAAGTTACTTTAAATTGTGCCAACAAAAATAGCTATTTTGACAAGTTACTAGCTGTGCTGTGCTAATAAAGCTTTCTATAGAATTGTTATTTGATCATTTCTTTAATTGCATGCATTTTTATTTAAAGATTATTTTTAAAATACTGAAAAATGGAGGGGTGAAAAAACTAAATATAAAATTCAGAGCTCTGATTTCCTTACTGTATTATCGGGTATTTTAGTAGGAACCTGCAAGTGACCTAACATCATGGTGGCCCTATCTCTGAAGATCTGTGTCCGCCAGTGCAATGTGGTGAAGACGATGCAGTTTGAACCATCCACAGCGGTGTATGATGCATGTAGAGTTATCCGTGAACGAGTACCTGAGGCTCAAACAGGGCAAGGTTAGTTCATAATTTTCCCCCTGGTTTGGGCAAATTAAAAAATGAGTTGCATTTTGGCTTTGGATTCCTGTATTAAGTTCCCTTCCCTCCCCTTCTCCCCTTATCTTCCCTTGATTATTCTTAATTTAAAAAAAAATTGTTTTTAAAACCTGTGCCTTTATGGTCTAAGGCAGTTGAAAAGCACATCTGAAATGGATTGATAGCTGAAGTTAGTCAAACTTCTTTGCTTCCCTTCTGAATGAAAAATGGCTTTTTACGGTTATTTTTTTATGAAACTTCCCAAATCCAGAAGTTTCAGGTTTTTTGATAAAAAGTATCAGTTTCCTCAAACTTTTCAACCACCTTGTGTTCACAGAACTGCTTTTCTCCTGTCATGTTTGCACAACTCCACCTACTGTATTCTCAACCGTGTTTGTAATAGTGGGAAAATCCAGGCAGCACAACATGTCAGGAAGTGGAGAGTGCCTGGAATATAAACACAATAGTTTTAGTAACAAATGGGACAGCTCTCACAGAACTGAGAATATTAGGCCAGAAACTACACTAATGTTAGGGGGCCTGTCCACAGGGGAAAAAAAAATTGGTTATAGAAAACACCAGGTTAGGCCTGCCATGGGCAAAACAAATACAGGGTGTGTAGCTTAATAAACATGTCAAGCTGACTCAAACCATATTGAGCGAGCCCTTATTATTAACTGGTTACAAACTGAGTTACAAACTGAGCTATGCAGTAGACATCTGCTAAAGTTCATCATAGCCCTCTAACTTTGTGCTAGCTATACCTCCAGGATATATGTCTTTAGAACAAGAAACCTATTGATTATACATAGCTATCCATATAGTTTTGTATTTTTATCTTCCTGGAGCTGTTAATAAAGTACTATATTGCTGTCTCTAAATTTTTTTAACAAGCTGAAGTGTAAAGATGCTGTTAAAAAAAAAAAAAAATTCCCCTTGTAACAAGGTGTTTTTGGTGGCCTGATTGAGGGCCTCTTTTCTCAGTGTAAGAAAACAAAGGCATGTAATTTGAACAGTCCAGGTGCTGAGTGTGCTTAATTTCTGCTGAAGTCAATGGAAATTGAGTGCAATATACCTTTTCAAGGTCAGAACCTTTGCACAAGAGAAAAGGAACACGTCTTTATAACGGGTATACTCAGTTTTTTCTTTTGTGTATATGATTGTTAAAACATAAAATTGCTTTGCCTATGAATGGCGTAGCTAAATTAAAATAGAATTACTGTATCTTACTTCCCTCCTCCCCGTTTTGGGTTGTTCAAGCCAATAGACATGTTAATTCAGAAAAATGAATATCAAGTAAAAAGACGGGCATAGGATCAGGTTGTCTTTGCTCCAGAATTCCACAAATAAAACACCCTGTTTTTTCTACAGTATAGACATATCGGGTATGTACCGGTCACATATTGTAGTCATAGAATCATGACGATCAATCATGAAAATTTAGAACTGTTTTACATATATAATTTCAAGGATGATTTTTGCATCGTTAACTGCTGAATGTATGGATCATAATCATTTCTATGTGTACAAGTTGTCTTTTCAATGATTAGTTTCCTAAAGTAAATGTATGCAAAGAAGTGCTGCTGTGTTTTATGTTCAAGGTTCTTCTGTTAAAAGATCCATATTTTTAAGCTAAATAATTACTTTTCTGGAAAGTTTATGACTTCATGAATAGTGTATTTGAGTCAGTACAGTTACAGATTGTCCATTAAAAGATGGATGCAATCAGTATTATTCTTTGGAAGCTTGCTCAGAGCTATTTTGAAAAGAACACTTTCCCTGTAAGCCATGGTTATTTTTATACTCAATTATGGATTATAGTATCTTACACAGTTACATATACATATGGCACTGTGTTTATAATAAAATTTAATTTTAAACCCTGCCTAATAAATGTAAATCGTTGATAGAGATTTCACACTGAAAATTAAGGTGATAACTCTCTGGAATTGGAATTACTCGTGCATCCTAGTCTGTTTGCTTATATTAGTGTGCTGTTACAGCTTGTGATTCTTGTGTATGAAAGAAATATCTTTATCTGTTCTTCCTCTCTGGTTAACAGGAAAAGAAGATTTTAAGTTGGTGCCTATAGTCTTTATTTTGCTAAACTTGAAATGGGTATTAACTTTCAAGGGCCTTCATTTTTTCATTCTGAAAATCAATGCAAGATTTTATTACTGAATTCATTGGGTGTAGGATTTTGCCTTTTCAGTAAAAATAAAAAATAAAAATAGAAAAATTACTTTTATTTTTAGAAAGATATTCTTACCTGGACTTTAATTTATTTGCACTTGATTGAATTAGAATTTTAGTTTGTTATGAAATGCTAACATGACTATCAAGTACACACCATGTTTTAAAGAGGCACTATTTAAAATAATACACTGATAGAGAAATAATTGCTAACCTTTAAATCTGAATTCTTCTGCATTTTTGGTTTGCTGTTTACTAGTAAGGCTAGGCTTTGGTGGTGAGAAACACTTAATATTCACTTCATGAAACATCCATTTCAGCTCTGATTATAACTATCTATCTTTAAAACCCTGCTGTGTGATGCTAAGCTAAATATTTCTTTAACTGGGGTAATAATATTTGCAATAAATACTCCTTAACAGCAGAAGGTAAATTAACAGAAGGTTGACCTTGGAATCTGGTCATTATATTGAGTTCTTTTTCAGTTTATATTTTACCAGGAAAATGATGTCCCTTCTGTTTCATTCCACAGCCTCTGACTATGGACTCTTCTTATCAGATGAAGATCCTCGCAAAGGTATATGGTTGGAAGCTGGAAGAACACTGGATTATTACATGCTGCGAAATGGGGTATGGCTGAGTTCTATCCTGGTTTTCCTCATCAGACTTTCAGAAAACCTTTTTAATTAACAAGTAATACAAATCATTTAGTCTTTGGAAAATAAACTAGTTTTCAGGCAAAAGCAATGCACTTTTTGGCCTTTTTAAGGGTTGGATGACTACCATGCCAAACAGAATTAGCTGATAAACAGACTGAAAATCATGAGTTTTTCTGTGTTGGCAAGTATCTGTTAGTATCCAAGCATGTACATTGGTATGGTATCAAGACAGGGTTCTGCCTTTTGTTCTAGAGAAGGGATTATCCTTTCTCTGTCACATGAAAGTAGGAGACAGAAGTGAATTTACATTTAAAAGGACTTGCATTCCCCTACTGCCAGATGACGGCTGGAAACAGCTCAGCAGTGATGAGGAGTGTCCCAGCATGGTTTCACCACATTACTTCTGTGTTTAGAGAGAAAAAAGGTAGGGAAGGCCATACTTGGCTTCCTCAGGAGTACGATGAAAGCAGCATGGACCTAGCTTTAGAGTCCCTTTATAATGCTCTTGTTCTTTTTACTTGGTGTAAAGGGAGTAGCAGGGTAAATAAGATCTCACTCCTATTCATAGCAAGCAAGCAGTTGTCCCACTACCATCTGCTTGAGAATGTGCCGCTGTATCTAGTGATGATTGTTAATTACATAAATTGAAAGCCTCTGATAAAATGAGTTGCAAAAAAGGTTGGCTTCTGATTTTTGTCAACTGTAAAAGGTAACCTGCATTGAGATTTAGGTTTTCTTTTCGCACTTTCTTTGTGTAATGCCATATCTACTTCTATATCCATCCAAACCCATAAACTATATCCACATTGGAAAGATTTTCTTCAAAACTAGAAAGCCTAGTATGTTTGTTAAATGATGTTAGGCTCAGCAGTTGCTTTTCAAGTTTCAGTCCAATGTATATTTGCTAAAATTTCCTAATTTCAGTGAAATTATTAATGCAGCTTTTAGACCAGTGATTCAGTGCCTTGAGATCCTTTCAAGGGTGCCATGGCATGCCACACAATATTAGCACTGTTAGATATACAGACATGATTCACAAGATAAACCCTGAAATTTCAAATAGGAATCCATAGTGTTAAGAATGTTCTGAGCTATTGTGGGCTGAATTCTTCATAACAGAATTGCTCTATTTTTCTGTAGTCAAAAAGCAATGAAAACTAAGAGTTGACATTTTATGAAGTGTGCCTTGAGTCTAAAAATGTTGAGAAACACTGATTTACACTAGCACAGTATTAATTGGCAATACAGAATTTGTCCTTTGGGCAGGTGAAAAGCTTCAGAAGTTTGACCATACTGTTCTAACAAAAAATCAGATTTTTAATCATAGAAAATTAGGCTTGGAAGGGACCTCAGGAGGTCATCTAGTCCAACCCCTTGCTCAAGGCAGGGCCATCCCCAACTAGATCATCCCAGCCATAGCTTTGTCTAGCCAGATCTTAGAAACCTCCAAAGATTCCTCTGAAGATTTGGAACAGGCTTCGCCCAGAGGTAGTGCATTGACCCACCCTGGCGATCTTCAAAAAGTGTCTTAATGCCCATCTTGCTCGGGTCATCAGACCCCAGCGGTCTTTCCTACCCAAGTGCAGGGGGGCTGGACCTGATGATCTGCAACCCAAGTGCAGGGTCCCTTCCAGCCCCTAAAAACTATGAAAATTGTGAAAACTAGGGAGATTCCACCACCTCTCTGGATAACCTGTTCCAGTGTTTTACTACCCTCTTGGTGAGACAATTCTTTCTAATATCTAACCTAAATTTCCCTTGCTGAAACTTGAGATCATTGCTCCTTGTTCTGTCAGACTGTTGCTTTGTTAATATAAGTGTAAAAATATATCTGCTCCCAGTTCCACCTACTTTAGGGGACTGCAGTGTTAGAATGGCTTCTGAAGCTATCTAATGCCATATGATTTCCTCTCTAGGATATTTTGGAATACAAGAAAAAGCAGAGACCTCAGAAAATACGGATGCTGGATGGGTCAGTGAAAACTGTTATGGTGGATGATTCTAAAACTGTTGGTGAATTACTTGTCACCATTTGCAGCAGGATAGGTGAGAGTTTTCGGATGTGAACGTGTTCTTCCATATTTTGCACCTTGGTTTTATGTACGTTAGGTACAGAAATTATCAACTTCTGCATTGTTTACACCCTTTGAGATTATTATTGTTTAGTTTTCATTAAATATATTCTGTAACGTAGTTAGAGCTACCACCCTATATGAGTCCATATGGATTTAAACCCTAAATTAATAGCTACTCAGCAGTCAGAGGCACCAAATGATTTGAAACCTAGTGCTCTAAATAAGGAGTACTTAAGCAGGCCCTAGGGAGTATGCGTGGGCGTGTGGGGATGGAGCACTACTACACACTATCCTGCACAGGCATGGGGGAAGCTCACCCCCACAACACACACACACACTCCTAGTTACACAACACCCTTCTCCCCCCTCCCCCAGCTCAGCGGCCGGGGGTACATTGCTTCGTGTCTGGCCGCCAGGGCATACAATGATTCAAAAAGTTTGAAAACCCCTACTCTAAATATTTTAAGTATTTGTTAGCACAGTCTTAGGTTGAGTTTACTTCTGTGAAGCAAAGAATTAAACCAACTTCATACCTAGGCTTGGCAGAATTCAATATATTTTTTAAAATTTTGATGACTACAATCAATGCTTATTTTCAAGCTTTTATTTCAATTTTTCTCAATTGAAATTTTTAGAGTTGCGTGAAATTAGGGGTGGTTTTCAATTTTTATTGATGGGGGTGTGTGTGTGCGTGCGTGCGTGCACTTGTGTGTGTGTGTGTGTGTGTGTGCATCCTCATATAGGCATGAATGCAAGTGTGAGCAACAGCCACTGCAGGAGCTAGGAGCTGTGCCAGTGAGGGGGGCTTGGAGGGGGCAGGGTTAGTAGTGCCCGGGAGCCTCAGGCCACTGGCCCCTCACTCTGCCCAGGTCTGAGCTGGGGCAGGGGCCAAACCTCCACAGAGCATGGTACAGCCCAGCCTCTACAGGAATTTGGCCCCTGCCCTGATCACACAGGGGCCATCCCAGGTGATGCAGGAGTTTGGTCCCTGTTTTAATCACTCATGGGCCAGGTCGAGCTCCACAGGAGTTTGGCCTCTGCCCTGGCTGGGACCTGGGCAGAGCAAGCAGCCAGCAGCACTTGGACTTCCCCGCTGCTACTCATCCTGCCCCTTTAACACCCAGCACAGCCTTACTCTGCAGTGGCTGGTGTGTGTGTATGCGTGCACACGCACAATGCCTCCTGCCCTTGATTTCCTTACGTCCGTCCCAGGGGTTTTTTAGGTGATGCAAAGAGCTGGGCAGGTGACCAGTTTGATCTTCACTGCCTACAAGATTCCCCCTATTGTTTGGAAACCAACTGGTAATTAAGTTTATCTTAAATTACCATATTTCCTCAAATCTAAAATGACTTTGAATGTAGGATGCCCCCACTCCCCCCAATAAATACATTGTCTAGGATCCAGTTAGTGGAAAGTTGTCTTAGATTCATCTTTCTGCATTGCTGTGGGAGGAAAACAGTGGCAGGGGGTGAAGAGCCAGATGCTTTCCTTTTGCCCTACTGCCCCTTGTACCCCCCATGCCTGTGCCTGGATAAAATGTTGCAGCTCTTGGGTGGGCCCTGTCAGGGCTGGAGGGACCCCAGCCAAAGCAGAAGGTAAGGGGGGAGGAGGCAGCTAGGTGGTGGGGTATTCTGCATGGGGGACCAGGGGGTGGGGGGTATTGGCTGCAGGTCCCCCTTTCCCCCATGAAATGAGCCATTCCCACCTAGGGCTGGCAGTGGATTAGCTCTGACTTCAGCCCCTAGCCTAAGCCCGAACAGAGCTGCTGCCTCTGCCAGGCCTTACTCAAATTCAAATCTTTTTTCCTTCCTTGGTGATTGGAGAGGGAAAAAGCCTCATCTTGGATTTAAGTAAATATGGTACTTATGAAGTGAATAAAGCCAAATCAATTTAAGGCTGCTTTAATTTAAAATTTAAATGTTTATATGGGCTTTTAATGTGGTTTAATTTATCCACTTAAAGAGTGTCTTAGACTCATTTTCATGTGTGCCCATGTTAGAAAATCCATTTTATTTGCAATTCTGTATAGCCCAGAGCATCCTGTTAATGCTTACCAAGTAATGAAAAACAGAAGCAGGACAAGGAAACCAGAGCAACATAAGCATGTGCTATGTGCGCTGTCCTGGCCTCCAATCCATTTCCATGTAAAATTCATAGTGAAGGCTGACAGCTAGAAAGCCCTAAAGGAACCAGATGTTTCGGAGGCTGTTTCTCAGCATGTTCTGCCATGTTTCCGTGGACATACTTGGTATGCAGAAACTGTCCAGTCCACAAAGAAGAAATTGAAGGAGTCTGTGAGAGAAAATTTACTGTGGCGTGTCCCCTGTTCTGGAATTTACCCCTGTACAGATTACACCAGAGCTGAACCCTGGTGGTCTTTCTCACCCAAAAAAAAGCCTTGTTCCTGAGGTGGCTAAAACACAATTACTTGATCAGTTTCCACATATACAATAAATGTATTTTTAATATTTAGAACAAATCCTTTCCCTCTATCCTTTGGTGCACATTATATTTTTCATGTTTCAAAGGCTGGTGTTGTTTGAACTTGCAGGAATAACAAATTATGAAGAGTACTCCCTAATCCAGGAGAGCATGGAAGAGAAAAAGGAGGAGGGAACAGGAACACTTAAGAAAGACAGGACATTGTTACGAGATGAGAGAAAAATGGAGAAGTTGAAGGCAAAGCTCCATACAGATGATGATTGTGAGTGTTCACCCCAAAAAGTTATATAATTAATTAAATGTACAAACCCGCATCACACTTACAGGCTCGGCAATGCTATACTCGCTAGCAGCCTGACCAAAAGAGACTTGAGGGTCATGATCGATCACGAGATGAACATGAGCCACCAGTGTGATACCACAGCTGGCAAAGAACAAAACTCTGGCTTGCATCTACTAATGCATCTTGAGCAAGACCCAGGATATCATCCTCCCACTTGGTCTTTGTGAGGCCACAGCTGGAGTACTGCATCCAATTCTGGGCTCCACAATTTAGAAAGGACATGGAGAAGCTTGAGAGAGTCCAGAGGAGAACCATGTGCATGATCAGAGGGCAAGAGAACAGGCCTTATGAAGAGAGGCTGTGAGCTACAGACTCTTCAACCTGGAGAAGCACAGGCTCAGGGGTGACCTGGTGGCAGCCTATAAGTACATCAGGGGTGTGCATCAGGATCTGGGGGATCATCTGTTCACCAGAGCACCCCAGGGGATGACAAGGTCCAACAGTCACAAACTCCTGCAAAACAGTTTCAGGCTGGACATAAGGAAAAACTTCTTTACTGTCCAAGCCCCCAGAGGTGGAACAAACTCTCCCCAGAGGTGGTGCAAGCACCTACTCTGAACACTTTCAAGAAACATTTGGACACTTATCTTGCTGGGATCCTTTGACCCTAGCTGACTTCCTGCCCCTTGGGCAGGGAGCTGGACCCGATGATGAGGTCCCTTCCAGCCCTAATGTCTATGAAATCTATGAAACAGAGAAGTGTGAGGAAAAGGGACACAGAAAGGTGGGGTTTTGTTCTGGAATTCTCTCTCATCAAATTTGGTTTTCTTTTACAAATCCAGAAGAGCATTATAAGATTAGGTACAGTGCCATATATGTGCATATGGTGTCTTTTGCTGTGGTGTTTTAACAGCCTGTTTTGCTTTTAGGCACAAGAGGTAGGGCATAGGTGAAAACTAGTGCAAGGTTGAGGGATATCTTTTTCTCTCATGGCAGTTCACTAGGGAGTTCATTTCCTTAATGGTCTCATTTTATTTTACTAAGGAAGTATATTTAATGACTGATATCTTCTCATTGTTTTAACGCATCTTGTACTGTAGGTCTATAAAATACAGCTTTATCTTTGCTGATCTCTGAATAAAATATAAAAGGAACCCAAGCAGTGCTTGCTTTGTTTCATGATGTTTAAATCACGAGGAAAGAGTGCTTACAGTACAACAAACCAGAACTGTTTTTAACTGGCACACCATTTGTTCCATCTGTAGAAAGGTTTTCAGGTTAAGGACTTCCATTTTTGCAATGTTTTAGAATGCTAAACTAAACATACCTAGTTCTTACAACCCTTCCTTATAGGGCTTGCATGTCACCCTCTTTATCATCCCTGTCATTCGCCTGTTCACCTATGAATCCTCTCCAGTTTCTTGACATACTTAAAATGCAGTGCCCAAAAGTGCAGTACTCCAGCTGAGGCCTGAACAGCACTGAGTAGAATGGTACTGTTTCTTCCTGTGTTTCTGATAATGAAGCCCAGAATTGTATTTTTTTTTTCTTTGAGCCTTGAGCATTTTGCCAATTCATGTTGCATTTATTCAGCAAAGTCCCCAGATGCTTCCTAGTAGTGCTCCTGTCTATCCAGTTATCCCCTATTCTGTATGCGTCTATCTGAGGGTTTTGGGGTTGTTTTTTTCGAGCCGTAGAACTTTACCGTTGTCTCGGTTGAATTTCAGTTTGTTGCCTGTAGCTGAGCTCTCTAATTTATCACAATCTGATTGAATACTGTTTGGAGCCTCTAAATTGTTTGCAAATGCTCGTGGGTTTTTGGTCATCTGTGAGCTTGATTGGTACGTTTCCTTCTCCTGTACCCAAGTTATTAATACAAATGTTAAGCAGCATGAGACCTAGAACAGACATTCTGGGAACTCCACATGAAACCTTCTGTGAAGATAACTTTGATCCATTTATAGTTATTTTTTGCATGTTGTTACTCAGCCTAGTAGGTATTCATCTAACAATAATTTTGTCTACCTGTATTTCTCCAGTTTGCTTATTAGAATGTCACGTGGGACCGTGTCCAAAACTTTATTCACATTCATGATCTCAGCTAAGCAGGGTAGCAGATTCATGTATATGAATACTGAATACATCTACTTAGCTTGAAGGAAAACTCTCAGAACATAACACTATCTTTCTACTTTATCAATGTATAAACTTCCTACATCTAACTTGTTTTGCTATGGAAACCATTATTGTGGTATCATGTTCCAATACATAGCTACTCAGATGAGGAGAATACACTTTAATGTTAACATGCATAAATGAGCATACATAGCAGCATATTTTTACATTCTACTTGAACAAAATGTTTGAGAGAACACCTACATTTAGGGTTTATACACAGCATTACCAGTTACAAGCACTGCAAACACTGAGGGCCCAAATTGGGACTTTAAAAATAGCTTTTTTATTATTAATCTGTTGTTTTGTTTTCAAAACTACATGGATTTATTTTCAAGCTTCTCTCAGAATCATTGAGGGCTACAAAGAAGAGCAGTAATGGTTCTCATGTAATCGCGATGCCAGGAGCTGGGACTTCAGGAAAGAGGACATGCATACAATTTTCACAAACAAAATCTGAGTTGGCAAGATTGAACACATACTAATATATATTGTGGCTCTGTTCCAGTAAACTGGCTAGATCACAGTCGAACATTCAGAGAACAAGGAGTTGATGAAAATGAAACACTGCTGCTGAGGCGGAAGTTCTTTTATTCAGACCAGAATGTAGACTCAAGAGATCCTGTTCAGCTGAACTTGCTTTATGTTCAGGTATAGTATGTGGAGCAGAGAAACCTCTTCCATCCTATCGAATCATCCTTCATGGTACATAACAAATGTTGTAACCAGTTGTGTTCAGTTATCACTTCCATTCATTTCTTTATTATCATACACCAGAACTTGAATTGGAAATTGGGGATGTTCAGTGGACCATTCCCTGAACCTAACTTCTGCGGGTGAGAGTAGGTATAGATGTGTGGGTCTGCTTTGTTCTGGGAAGCAATGTAGAAAATAGAGTTTTAAACAGGGGTCTGATGTATTGTGTATAGTTAGCCAATATGCATATATATGCCCATCTGCTTAAAGAACAAGGACTGCTATAAGGAAGGAACTGGATTCTATTCCTGCTTGTGTGCCAGCAGAATTTTTCACCAAGTTCTGATGAAGGTCCAGTTTGTTCTTGTTTATCTTGGCAACCCCATGGACAAAAAATTGGTTGTGCAACTAAAGCAGAATTTCACCTGAAAAGTATTTATGAATGAAGGGAAAATACATATAACTTGACTCTAGGTTTCAGTTTGCCTGGGATCCTGGCAACTGTAAACACTAGTAATGAAGCAAATGCAGTGTGAAGGCCATTGTAAAAATGTTCATTAGAGTTATTTTGTGTCTCGGGACATATCTCTTGTGAATCACTTTCTGCTTGGGTATGGTTGTGATAAGCAGTATGACAGAATTGTATGTTTGGAGGAAAGGTTAGAGTAACTTGCCCACTTATTAAAAGGCCATTTCAGTTTTGCTGCTGTCAAATTTCATAAGCATTGAAGTCATTTTACCTGAGTCTAAAACAAACTTACTTGCAGGGATGTGTAAATGTATTTAAAAAAAAACAAACAAAACTTAAAAAGGAAAAGTGACAAGAGATTTTGGAATGGACTTTACATTTTGATACAGATACAGAGGGAGTCTGAGTATAAAATTAATTCAGAGGGATTCCCTTAATCAGCACTGATGTCATACAATCAGGGAATATGTGAGGTTTTCCTTAAAACTTTTCTGTTAAGTAGTTGGTTCAGATGTTGTTTACTTTGTGTTAGAATTTACAAGATAATAAAAAGTGATTGAGCAATAAATAGTGTGTTTTTCTGCTTTGCTTGAAAGCTATCCCCCAACAGCTGGATTCACATGGGACTGTTTAAAGTGCAACATTTCAAAACTCTAGGGCAAATGATAAAGATGACATTGTTTGCATACCTCACTTATATTTTTAAATGTTCAAGAGTATTTCACTTTTAACAGCCCTTTCCACTTCAGCAGGTCCCTCTGTGTCCCTATTGAAGCAGCATGCACCAGTGCTTCCATTCCATTACCTGCTCTATGGCTAAGTAAGACTTCATTTTCCAGCCTAGCTTTTAAATCTAGCTACTTCTGCAACCACTAAATATATGCACAGAAGAAGAGTGGAAAATGCGGTTGTCTTTCAACTCTAATTAACCCTACAGGTGCAGTCAATATTTTACATACTAAGTAGATAACTTTCTTTTTTATTACAGTATCGAATCTCTCTTCCCACCCTCCCCACCCCCGTTTCCGCCCTCCCAGTATAAACTGTTTAGGTCAGATCCTTAGTTAGTGTAAACGGATCTAGCTGGCTTAATTTCAGTTTGGCCATGGAGGTTCTCACCAGGGGAGAATCTGGCCTTTTGTTTATTTTATTAGTCACAAACATATCCACGGTGGAATAACAAATTTATTCTGACAGGAAAGCTTGCTGCTTGATTCTTGGCTTTTGTTCAGGCTTTCGAGGAATTTCAAAGGCACTGTAACTGCTTCTGATGTGCTTGACATGTCATTGCTTACCTTTTTAGGCTCGAGATGACATCCTGAATGGCTCCCATCCGGTCTCCTTCGAGAAGGCTTGTGAGTTTGGAGGCTTTCAAGCACAGATTCAGTTTGGACCTCATGTGGAGCACAAACACAAGCCTGGATTCTTGGAGTAAGCTGCTTTGCTCGTATCTAAATTTGAAGATCATCTGTGCAAACAGTGCAGGGGCTGCAAGATCTAGGGGCTGCTTGGGCCCTAGAATATATGGGAAGCATAATGGAAAGGACTGAAGTGTGTTTAATGCACAGGTGTAGGATTCAGGAAGCCTGGATTCTGTTCCTGATTGCCAGTTTTCATCTGCTTGCCTCAATATTGCTGTCTAGTCTATATATCACAGCCAGATTGATCATTTATTTGTTACAGAAGTGTATGAAGATCATGAGTGAAAAGGAGCTGTGGGGCTGTTGACTAATATTCCCATCACTATGTGTATTTAGTGATGACTAAGGGTGTGGATAAATGTATCTTAGTGCTTTGAGAAGGGATGCTGAGATGCTACTCAGGAGAGCAACTGTCATGCTTGCCTTATCCTGTGGTGATACAACTTTTGTTAAATCACCAAGACATGGATCCTTAATAAAGCAGGATTAAAGCTGGATCAGGTTCACTATATTTGTATCACTCCAGAATCACGCAGGCAGTTGCACTGTATCAGTTTATATAATTACCCTTCGATTTCAGTAGAGTTGTTACATCTCTTCCTACCTTAAATTTTTGAGAGAGAAAGAATTGCAAATCTGAGAAACAGACTTACCCTGCCACAGCATGATACTGAGCAAGGCCTGTATCCTCCCTTGCAAATTTGGATAATGATGAATTCTGTTTATGGGCACTGCTTCACTTTAGCTATGCTGCCTTGCCTAATTTTCTTGTCTCTTAAGCAAAGGGTTAAATTTGACTAAAAACTACACACAGTGAATTTCTACTGGTTTTTTTTTTTTCTAGCTGGTGTGCACAGAACATAGTAGACAAGGAATAGAAATTTAAGGAGGTCAGACAGGGGGATATGCAAAGGGCTTGATCAGCTGGTAAGCAGGTAGAGAAGACTTGCCTTCAAAAAGGGCTGTAGGGTGGTCATGGTTAAGCTTAAATGTGAAGAATGAGAAATGTAGAGCTGTGGGTGTGTTCTGTTTTTGACTCGTAGAGAAATCCTTGATGGATCCTTGATGTCAGGTATGACCTGACATTTGTTTTAATGTAGCCCAAAGAATCTCTTTTAAATGGTGACTCACTTTGAAATGTGCTATACTGCAGCCTGGAATGTCTGAAATGCTTTATTTTTGGAACAATTCCCTAAAGCAGCTGTTATATGATGCTCAGTTATGCAAACAAATCACATAAGCAAATATCCTTCAGTTCCAATTAATCTGAGGAATCAGCGTTCCTTTGTACCGTCTGGATTTAGTCTCTCTGCTGATTGGACAATGAAGCAGTACTTAAAGAGCTGCTGATTTCTCTTAGAAGTGGGGAAACACTATGTAATAGACATAATATAGTTCTAGCCTTAATTCCTTCTTATTGAGACTAGTTGCATAACCATTACTTAAGAGCCTCTTTTATTCTACAGTCCCTCTATTCATGCCTATTCCCAACCTGATGACATTCCTGTGGCAACCCATTATACCACATTATGACAAGATAGTGCTAAGCAAAGGTTATGACCCATGGATTTTAGTGTTCACAGCAAATATTTCTTTTTTTAAAGGATGTGTTTTATTGGTTTTGTTTTTAAAGATGTCTTTAAGGTTTATCTTACTGGATGAATTTCCCATAAAAGCGTCTGTTTGGCCGTTCTCTTCAATGGCTATGCAATGTCAGCAGACCTCAGCTGCCAAGAACCCTCCTAGGTTTTCTGCCTCTTTTCTCATTCCATAGAATAAAAAATTGTCCTATCTGGTGGCATTATTTGTGTGTTAGACATGCACTGCAGGATAGATATTTTCACTTCTACTGTGCAAGCCAGACTATATGTAATTCATTAAGCTATAAAATGCTATAAAAAGCTAAATGGCAGTGCAATACCCATTATGCTTTTTAGAAATGAAATATAAAAATAATTAGAGATTGTTCCTTTGAAATTCATAGACGACTCAAGTATCGAGAGTTTATTGTTAACTGTAGGGGTTTTTCTGTCAATTATTTTATTTCCATTAGGTATAATCTTGTTACCATAATGAGAAATGTTATGTTAATCTGCCCCTAACAATATATTTCCTTTGTACAGGTTAATTCCAGTTCTTTTGGATATGCTCTCTTACTACTACTTTTCATTAGGAAAAAAAAAAGAAATTATGCAACTTTATCCTCCATTTGTAAAAAAACAAACAAACCCAAAAATAAAAAAAATACTGACTTCAGAAAAGCGAAATCAAGATTTTGAGTTAATATTTCTAGACCAGGTTTTGAAAATATTATTTTCTTTTCTATGGAAATATATTGATATATTAAATCAAAGTGTGAAAGAGTTGAAGTTGTATGTTAATGAGATGTTACAACTTAAATTGAAATGTGGTTGATCAGTGACCATTGACTAACCAATGTCATCTCAACACACTTAAAAGCTACCTTAAAGGGATTATATCTACTTATAAAAAAAAGGTAGGAGGAAAATAGGGTTGGTCCCTTTCCTAACATGCAGCTGAAACAACTTTGTTTAATTTACCATATTAACAGCATGTTTACATGAAGAACTCTCCTTTTTTAATCCCTTTCTGTCATTGATAAATTATTCTTGACACAAATAAAGATTATTGCCTGCATCGTTTTAACACTTAGATACTGGTTGTTGGAATTTCCTTACAGTACATGCCAGAGTAAGCACACATTAGTATTAACTGTGAGAACTTTCAGGCTATCAGATCTTAAATAGCATGATCAAAATGGGTTTAAATTTTGCCTCTTCATCTACAGAGGCAGGTTATGGTTAAATGTGATGAGAAAATAGCTATTTAAAAAAATCTTCTTTCTATTCATATGTAGATGAGAGTGTATAAAGTGGCTAAACCTACCCACCAACAGCTCTGATTTCCAAGTAAAAACAGTAACCAATCAGATCTCTTCTTTATGATTCCATCTTTTTAATGAACATTGAAAAACATCATTTGGGGGTTGGTTGTGTGATGTTGCTGTGGAGGATGGATGCTTAGAACCAGAGCTCCAGGGGAAATGTGGCATAATCGAAAGGTATCACCTACCCCTTACCCCATTCAGGCTTCAGAAACATTTTCTCCTAAATGTTAAAGGGCAGCTGCATATAAGGAACCTGATATGCAAAGCTCCACACACATTCACAAGAAGAAAAACTGAAGCAGCTGGCAGACCATGAGCATTCAGAGATGGCTGCTGAAACTGGAAATAAAGCAAGAAAAGCAGGAAAGAAGAAGACCAAAGCAGCTTCCAGCACCACTGATGACTTTTGATGAGATCACATCCGAGTTCAGGTCTCTATTCTAGAACTAAAAGCTTGACAAGATTGCATCTGAGACAGAAGAATTTAGGAACAGAATTACAGATATTGAGAAAAATGTGGAAAAACCTTTAAAGCTAATGTTGAACTCCAAAACAGAATTAGTCTGGTTTAAAGAAAAAAAGGAAAAAGCTGTCAATAAAAATGGAAATATGGAAAATCTCATGCAAGAAGGAAAAATATTAAAACCAAGAATCTCCCTGTAGGGGTGAAGAAAGGGGATCTTACTAAATTCTTTGAAGAACCACTCTAAACCTCAGAACCAGAAGCAGGTGTACTGATATCCATAGATAATATTTGTACTTCTCCCAGCACAAATATAGTTAGTGATAACATTGTAAGAATACATTTCTGCAAACAAAAACAACATCTAGAGAACTCTCTACAGTTAAATTGGATGGATACAAAGTACACATTTTTTTCAAGATGCATCATATTCCACTCTAAATAAAAGAACTGAAAGAGATTATGCAACATGATTCAGAGAAACAAAGACAGAATACAGATGGGGTTATCCTTTTAAGTTCTGTTTGCTCAGGAAGGACAGCAATACATCATTAAAAATAAGGCAGGAGTTGGAGTACTCAGAAGATTCAAACTAATAGAAGACAACTTGGAAGCACAACCAGTTTCCAACACAGATCTTGAAGCTCAAAACAAAAATACGGAGTGGCAGATCATGAACAAAAAACAAAAGAAGGAAGATCATGAAGCATAATGACAGGAAACCTGAGATGAAGGGTTGCAAAGCTGTTGATTTGAAAAAAAGATGTGAAAATGTAGGAATAGGCTTGCTAAGTATAAGTAAATCCTGCAGAAATTGTTAATGTTTGAAACCCTACTTTAAGTAATTTGGGTAGAGAAACATGTGTGGTTTGAAATTGTAAAGGCAGAGCCTTCATTAAAAAAAAGAGAGAGCAAGTGGGAAAATAAAGGAAAAGACAAAATCAAGAGGGTATGGGGAAAAAGGGGAGACATAAATGTGATTTGAGATGGGGCCTCCTCTGGGGGAGGGACTGGCCTGCTTTGTGGCTTCCTCCCTCCCTTGGTGCTAATCCTTTGCATCTCATTTGTGGTCTGGATCTGACCAAGAGAGACCTGTCATCCAGCCCTGACTGCTGCCTGTGGGTTTCGGAGTTGATTCAAAGGTAGCATGTGGCTCATGCCAGCTGACCCCACTCACAGCACTCAGTCTGTCCACTTGGAGACCCCACATCTGCTCCATACCAGATCCAGTGCACATCCCAAAGTGGGTTGGCACAGGTGGCATAGTCCCAGTGCAGCCAGTGTGATGCACACTGCACCCACTCCAACCATTCTCTGGATCCAGCATGGAGCATTCATGTGCTGAACTGGGCATTATGTGCAGCGCAGTCCTGGACTGGCTGCAACAGGTGCCATACCCACTTGAAGACGTGTACTTGATTTGGCATGAGAAACCTGTCTGTGGGCCTGATCCCACCCACAGACTGGTCCCACACCACTCATCCAGTCAGATAAGTTTGAAACCTCTGCTATAAGTCCATAAAATAATACTATGATTTCACCCAAAGTGGCAAGTAGTTAACCACATTAGAAAGGTAGTTTAACTACTAACTTCACTGGGGCATTGGTGAATCTACACATTTTTACAAATGGGGTGTGG